GTAACACAGCCCAGGTCTAGCCTGAGACCTTAGGAGCAGTAACTGGTTATAAAGCACACAGCAGCAGAGCTGTAAAAATAAACCAGTTTTAGCAATTAACTAATGCCAGCAGCAGGGCTTTCCCTTTCCAGAGTTGCCTGCAGAACACCTAACGCATGCATTGATTTCACAGGCGAATTCAAATGCCGAGAACATCAAGCTGATCTCAGCTATGCTGTGTGCTGCCCTGTACCCCAACGTGGTCCAGGTAAAAGAGTGCTTGTTCATTTCCCCTTCTGCTGGCTAGCATATCCACACAGCCTGCGTCCAGTCTGGGCTGATTGTGGCTGCCTTGAGCCTGGCCTAGGCTGCCAAAGCGTGCTGCTTATGGTGTTAGAGCCAGGCAGCTGAGCTCCAGTTTGTATTGCTTGAGACTGCTGCTGTTCCTACAGGCTGGTTTTCTTCTGTCACACAGAAGCCAGCAGCAAATATTGGTAAGAAGCTCCTTGAACTTAGAGCTTTTTAGAAGGCTGAGGTTACCAAACAAACAGTCAGGGTTAGACAGCACTCAGACTGTACTATCCGTCTCTAGTGACTTGACATGTTACTACTTTAGAATTTCTGGTTTTGATAAAATTAGATTGTAAGCTAAAAAGGTTGTCTGCTACGGCAGATTTTATAACTTACTGTCTTGCCATACAGGTGAAAAAGCCAGAGGGCAAGTACCAGAAGACCAGTACAGGAGCAGTCAAAATGCAACCAAAAGCAGAAGAGCTGAAGTTCGTTACCAAAAATGATGGTTATGTTCACATTCACCCTTCATCTGTGAATTATCAGGTCAGGAGTCTTGTTTTTTCTGCAAAGCATGATCTTTTTTTTAATAAAAGAAATCACTTTGCTTGAGCAGTTGAGATTACAGTGAGGGTCCCTTTCAATGTTTTAAAAAAAAAAAATCTTCAGGATTGAACAGTGTGTGTTAGAATTGTAAACAATGGTGTGTTCCTGAGTTAAGAGTGTCCTTTTGGATGCACAGTTAAACTTCAGCCTGTGGAGTGGCATCAGCAAATGCAGTAACCCCACACTGCATGTTTTCTTAAGCTGTGTCTGCAGAGTTGCATTCAAAAATGTCACAGTGGCAAGGCTTTCCTGGCTCCTCCTCAGTACTGGGTTGCACACATGGGCATTGCACCTTCATACACGTTGATGTCTTCTCCCCAGCACCCATCCCAGGGCTTTGTGTCTTCAGCTGAAATATTACTTATTGTTAAATAATTCAGGCACATACTCTGGTTTATTTCTTCATGGGTCCTCAGACTCTGAAGTTAATTTCCTTTCCAGCTGGATAGCTAATACTTAGCCAAGAGCTCTTCTCTCTCTGCCATGAGATATGGTAATGTTTGTCTCATGAAGTCTATCTCTGTATTTCACGATCCATTGCTTTTCTGGGATATAAATGACTTGCTTTGAAAAAGTGGGGGTTTAATCACTAACCACATATTGGGGTTATCAGAGCTTTGAACCGTTCACCATTCTTGCTTTGAAAGAGGATAACTAATGTGCCCGTGAAGGTGCCCTTAGTATGAAATAGAGAACATGGGGCCTTGAGAGAATGCTGATGAATGAGCCCATTTCTCACAAGCTGACTGCAGAGCAGGAAGGAGCGAGTGGCTGCCAGTTGGCTAGTTGTTGGCAGCTCTTACGGGTCAGACTGTTAGCCCCGTAGGTGCCTTTCAGGCACATCTGTTGTTCTTTGCAACCACAGAAGAGGCCGAGGAGGCCCGTGTGAAGCGGCAGGCAGGCCCACGGCTGCCTGAGCAAGGAGATGCGGCACTTAGACGAGGCTCTTGTGTTGGTGTTCCAGACGAGGCACTTTGAGAGCCCCTACCTGGTGTATCACGAGAAGATCAAGACCAGCCGGGTGTTCATCCGGGACTGCAGCATGGTGTCCGTGTACCCCCTGGTCCTGCTGGGCGGCGGGCAGGTCCACATGCAGCTGCAGAAGGGAGAGTTTGTCATTTCCCTCGACGACGGGTGGATACGGTTTGTGGCTGCCTCTCACCAGGTGAGGAATTGGGGTGATGCTGGGTGGGAGTGCTGCAGAGCTGTGTCTGCGTCCAGAATGCAGGAGAGGCACTTCAGGAACCTCACGCTCCTCTCTGTGCTGTACCTGTCCTGTCAGGTGGCTGAGCTGGTGAAAGAGCTGCGCTGTGAACTAGACCAGTTGTTGCAGGATAAAATCAAGAATCCCAGCATGGATTTATGCATGTGCCCCCGTGGATCTCGCATCATCAGCATGATTGTAAAGCTCGTGACCACGCAGTAACGTGAGAACAGCTTTCTACGAAGAGACTCTTTCCTACTGCCTGAGAACAGACCAAGTACCAACAGTGTCTTGATGTATTTGTTGTCCCAAAACAGGGTGCCGATCTCTGGAAGATCAACTTGGCAACTGTACCATTGACAGGTTTGGGGGGCTTTTGTTTGGGTTTTGGCTTTTTTTTTCCTTCAACGGTGGCTTACAGTATACCCTGGAAAAATGGGAAAATGGCAAATCTCACAGGAGAAACAGAAACCTCCAAGTAAGAAAATAAAAGGTTTTTTTCATGAGGCTGTACACACAATAGTGTTTTCTGGTCACAAAAATACCTGCTGTCTAGCTGCTTCTTGTAATATTAATGTCTGTCTGGAGGCAGCATGTAACATCATAAGCTGCTCCCAAATTGGTTTAAACTCACTTCTACATTTTGGCTAAGACTTGAAGTAGTCAGTCTTTGCTGACCAGGGATTGATTGGCTTATGGTTCAACCCCAAGCCCTTAGAAGGGTGAGCATCTTGAGTCACAGCAAGGCATTAAGGAATGGATTGAGTCCTCTCAGTTTAACCCAAAAAAAAAAAATCCAAACAAACAGAACCAAAAACCCCACACTTGCATGTTTGTAGAAGCAGTTTCACAGCAACCTTTGCATGAGGAAGAAGACAGGTGTACCAAAACCACCCTACCCATGCAGCAGAAAGTTGAACTGCAGAAGGCTAAACTATTCCCATAGCTTCATGTTGGTCAGCAGACCCAGTTAGATCCAGACAAGCAACAGACAGTGTCAGTGGCTATTGTCAATGACCATACTGCTAGGTATGAGAAGGGACACCACCACCACCTCCAGCAAATAAAAGGGAGTGGTTCCTTCTCCACCCTTCTCCATGGGAGCTGCTGACCAAAGCTTGCCCCTAGTAGCCCTCCTCCTCTACCCCAAGTCCCAGCCTCCCCCTTTTCTTGTAATACTGAGAGGAAATACCAAACAAGAGAGGTATCAATAGAAGAGGTTTTAGTCTACAGGTTTATTTTGGAGTCAGCTTGCTTCAGGAGTACAGAGGGCTGGGGGAGGGGGAAGGAAAAGCTACACCCCTCCCTTTAAGAGCATTGTGGCATGGGGTAATTTTACCACAATGGGGCAGGGAACCCAGTAACCACTGTGCCCAGCAGTGTTTAGCAGTGGCTTCTGAGTCAGCCCCGTTGAATGCTGTTGCTTCCAGCTCCCTCTTCTGCAGCTTCTAATGGACAATGGTTATGACAAAATATTAAATGCAGCAGCAGCAAAGAAAGTCACTTATCCTACTAAGCACCAAAGCACTAAAATGTAGAAACACGGGGAAGACAAGGAACAAAACACAGGCTGTAGTACACAGGCAGTCTCTGTGAAATCATGCTCATTCTTTTAATACCTGGACATCTTGTAAAGCAACAGCAACCAAAAGTAATCTGAAAACATGGGGTTAGGTGCCCCTGCAGAGCTGCAGTGCTTCAACCCTGTGCTGACTGATGAGAAACCTCAAGAGAAGCATTGTTTCTCTCTAGTCTGTAAGACACAGCAATATAGCCCAGAACATAATATAATTAACTTTTAGGTCAGTCATTTGGCACTCCAAGTTCCTTACTGGTTTGATAACAGACATTTCCAGCTGCAAGGATAAGCTAGTGCAAAGTATTTGCCAGTTTGATTTATCATACTTCTATTAAATCCTTCAGTAACCTATCATCTAGGGGAGATGAGGCCCATCTGTATACAGACAGCTACCATCCAGTTTCCCAAAACAACTGCTCTGAGTCCCTTCAGCACACTTTACTGCCCAAGGAGATGGGACTAGCCAGACTAGACTTCTGCACCAGAACTGCCCATTTATCCCAAGTATCACAGAAAAGTAGTACTATTTGGGCAACTAGGACATAAGATTTCTAAAAATATTTACTTCAATACTTTACATTCCAGAAGTACTCCAAATAACTTTAGGTGAGAAGTTCACTGGTCCTTTAATCAAGAGGACAGACAGACCAGCCTTCACACCTTCCTTGTTTTTTCCATCTGTAGACATTTCTGTCAGTCACATCAAGTGTACCAGCACCTCCAGCCAGGTTTTCAGCTTCACTAAAGTAAGTCCAAAGGAGGTGCAAGTGAAAACACAAGGTACAGATCAC